GGGCTTGGCTTCACTTGGAACATGTTCATGTTCATGGCTTATATGCCTTGCGTACATCAAGTATACGCAGCGGTGTGCCAAGCTCATTAGGCTACCATTATAACATTTCTCTATAGCGGTTGCCGTTGTTGTTGCCGCCACCAATTTCCATGTCAAACACAGACAGAGGGACAGACAGACAGTTGGACAGGCGAAATTTCACTCAGCGCACCCACAAAACCGAATCACAGTGCTCTTGAATGCGGTGAAATAATTCAACTGGAGATTGAATATTATTTACCCGCCAACATTGCATTATTAGCGCACACATTTACAGTGCGCCACAAAAGCCTAGGGGCTTTATTTATTTTGTATAAGCAATAAGGGAAAATATTTGAGCAAGAGCATCTTGGGGATTAGCCTGGTTTTCAAAGTATTCATTTATGAATTGGTGCAATTAAACTTGATTTCATGAGTTTAAACATGATTTTCACACGTGAAGGAGTCGTTTCCGACCCTATAAAACATATATATTCTTGATCAGCATCAACTGGCGAATCGATCTAGCCATCTTTGGGAGAAAATTTTTTTTTTAATTTTTTAAAAATTTTATAAGGGGTTACATTGATAAAATTGTCAAAAATGATGATTTTTTTACATTTTAATTTAAGTATGCAGATTTATTAACCCACAAAAAACTAACATTGGAAAACTTTCCAAATCGAAATTAATGCAGTTCTGGCAAAGTTATGAAATTTTTAAACTTTGATTTGTCATTAAAATTGTCATATAAAAGTATCTTTATATAAAATCTGCAAAGTTAAAGATTCTTGGCTTCAAGAAGTTCGCTTTCTTTCATGTTATATTTGAAATTATTAATAAATTTAAATTAATTATCTTAAATCTTATAAATAAATTATCTTAATAGTATTCTTTTATATTCAAATACCTGAACATTTCTGCTATTAAAAGTAAATGTAATATACCAAAACAAAGATACAATATCCACGCATCGCACTGTATCTGTTGGATAGTTGCTTGACCTGAACCCGCCCTGAACTCGTTGCACGCAATTTGATGAATGAGACGGGCTTAAAAGCCTTTAAGCCGAATGACTTTATATCTGCATGCCGCTGCGTAGAGGTCCGTGACTCACCGATGAACACATACTCAAATTATCTCAGCGATTTCCAGTGACATCGTGAGCGACTACTGACATTTTCAGACGTAGTCAGTCTTCGATTTCGTTTCCGGCCAGCACGTAATTGAAATTACATTTGGCCAGAAATTTTTGGCAGTGAAATTGCCGCCGCATTCGATAATCGCCTCGCTTTGGATTTAAATTCGAACTCGGACTTAATTACTTCCCAGTGCTACCATTGCTACCACTTGCTGCCTGGGCTGGACTTTCTTTCGCTCTCGATCAGACTCCGACGGACCTACATTAACGTGCCAGCTGAAGAGACCACTCCACCAAGTGGCGATATGGAAATGGGAAAACCGAGAGCCAAACGCCCAACACGGAAAATTGAAATGCAGTCGGGGGAAAAGGAAAGTGAAATTTTCAGGCAGCTCCCCTCTCCACTGAATTCGATTCAATTCGTTTTCGATTTCATTCGGTTTTTGAATCGTTTCTAAGGTTCGCGCTTTTTAATACGCCGCCTGAATAATTATTATGCATACGTACTACGTATGTCGGGCTCACTTAGTCGCTCATCTGGGTTTGCGGCCTATAGTTTTCGATCCGCTGCGCAGTGAAATTGAAAATCATTTTTGAAAGTGGTAAAATTATTCGCTGCCCCGACACAGCACACACCACACACCACACACACATTCCATATGAGACCGTTTAAAGCAAATGTTTTTTGTCGTAATTTTTCATCGCGTTGTTGTTTGTATTTTGAATGTTTTTCTCTGGGGATTTTTTTTTATTTTTTGATTTTTTCTCCCCTCTTTTTTTGGTCACTGTATTACAAAATTTTAATTGCAGTCGGCAGAGTGAACCATAAAAGAAATGCAAGCTTGAGGAGAGCTAAAAGCAGCAGGTGAATGCTCTTTTTTTAAGGGATAAGAAAATGGTTTTAGTTTTTAGATAAGCAAAAGAAAATGCTAAGAAAAATGAATTGAACAAAAAACAATAGTACTTTAAATCAATAATAATCAATAGTACTTTAAATTACATTTGTAAATAAAAATATATGAAGTAAACTGCTTCAAACATAAAGTTTTAGTACGGCATCTACTTGCCAGGTTTTCCTTTTATTTTTAATCATGTACAAGCAATAAAATGTTACAAACATAATAAAAGTAATAAGGAAAACTTAATACAAATTATAAAGAAAACCCGTGTTAACACTATCAGACTAAAAAAACCCATTACTCTGACACTTTACTAGCAATAAAATCCTAATAAAAATGGGAAACTGCTGAAGCATACCACAAAAACTTTAAGTATTAATCTTTAACTAATAAAAAACTAGGAAAACAGTTACTAATTAATCATTACTTGCTCCCGCTGTGGATTTAACTTTATTAATAACAAGAAAATAATTAAATATGGGTTTCAAGAGACGTCGGAAGCTTGGATTAAAACAGGGAAAGACATGTACGATAATTATTAGATTAAGGCCCCATTGTTCGAAGGCCAATCCCCTGCTGTTTCTTCACCCACTGCCCACTGGATACCCTGCTCCAGCTCCAGCTCCAGGTCTTAAAGATTAGCGGAGAGTGTTTTTTATCCCGCCATCGACCACATCATCAACATAAAAAGCAACAGCTCGAGCGGCAGATAAATGTTTGGCTAACCCAAATCCACACACAAGGAAGGAAACCGGGAAACTGGCCAAGAGGCTCTCCGCGGGCAATCCAGTTTAGATTTCGACCATTGCAGTGCAGCATTTGGGAGCAGGAAGCGTTTTGTGGCCAAAAGCAGCACAGAGCACAAAAAGTTGTCTTACTTTCGTGAGCCAAAAAAATGTAATGGCCAAGACGATGCGTCGACGCATCGACGAATGTCGCGCGGGCTCAGCTCTCTCCTCTCCTTCGGGACAAATCTCACCTGGTTCAGGTTGTTCAGGTTGGATTGCATAATGCCCTGTCAATCGATGTTGCATCAGATTTGCCAGCTTAAGCCCCAAGATTCTACAGGTAATTAAGCCGAAATTATGCCAGAAAAACAGCAGTCAATTAAGACTTGATCTATCTGACTTGGTGGGAACTCTTTTTGGGGATTGACTTGGATTTTATGCAAATCTCGTTACTCTTTTCCGCATACGTCGCGGAAAATGGCTTTGGCCTGGGAAAAACCATTCATAAAACGGGGCTGAAGGTCGCTCGATGTCTGTAACATTTGCCATTTGCCTTGGGTGTGTGTTTTCTGAGAGACACCTGTGAAAAGGTCAACGCTAATTACAGTCAACCTCAGCGATTTCAATTGATTTCTGTTGATTCTCGGCTTGCCGGGCAGGTGAAAGTGCTTTGTTCTAGTGGAAATACCACTCGGCGGAAGCCACAGACAGTCACGGTTGAATGATCTCCTCGAAGAGACTGGCAGACCTCCATCCCCATCCCCATCCCCATCCTCATCCCATAACTCAACCCGGCCAGGCTAGAGGTGGAAACCTTCCTCGTACGTCATCGCTCCGCACATAACTCACGCCCACCTGGGCCGAGGTGAGGCGTTATGACAACTTGACTGATTGGATTTGGCGGCGGATCACCTGCCGATGCTGCTGCTGTCAATGCACTCGCACTCGACTTTCCTAGTTGGAAAAATTGAAAAGAAAATCGCGACAAAGCGGGGCTCTTGTACGTATCTTTGGGTTACCCAATGCATAATGGATAATGGCTCCGAACGCTGAACGCTGAACGCTGAGCGATATGCTAATTAACTCAATTTCCACGATCCATAAACGTCTCACTTAGGCAATTGTCTTGGCTTTTGGCGGAAATCCAGCGGCGGCTATGAGAATATTTTAATTGCCAAGCCAAAAGAAGGTGAAGAAAAAGAGGTCTTTTCCTAAGGCCAATTCTTAGAGACTGCTAAATATTTGCCAACTTAATAAGTGTACACTGGAAAAAATATCTAAAAGCAGCTAACTCTCATATACAATTAAATATTAACCCATCTCCCAAAAAACCTTAAATTTTGCAACTCAAACTAAACTCTATACTTAAGAGCTTATCACACATCTTACTTAATTATAGTTTTCAATAAGTTGCACTAATTGCTAACAAAAAAAGACAACCCGTTAGAGGTCAATATGGATTCTACGCATTTCAAATGAAAAAATAAAGCCATTTATGTGTGTTACCAACAAAAAGAAAAAGAGTAGGAAACGCACAAGAAAAAAATAATCCATAACAAACAATTCAATAAAAAGCATAATGGAATTTGTGTAATAACCAAACAAATCCAACGACCTTCAGGCCCAAAAAAGCCAATTAAAAGCTGGCCACCACCACATGGCAATGAGTCAGAATTATGTCTGCATTGGATACTATATACACTATATACTATATCGGGTACTAGATATATCTCAGCTGCTGCACATTCAATATTTTCCCAGCAGCGACGACAAAAAACAAGTCCCCGGTGGATTGCAAAACTGGAACGACATTGCTGGTGCTAATGCTAAAACACGTTAGCATTTATGGCCAACTTGATTTGCATTTAGTGCATTCTTGGGGACACTTTTAGGGGGGCTTACTCTCCCCTTTAGCCTGTTAATTTCAATTATGGGCCACAAATCATTGGAGGATCTAGAGGAGCAGCCTGCAGACCAGGTCTTTTGTATATTGGCCCGAAGCAAAGTTACAACTTTGAGGTAGTTGAAGCTGCTTAAGTTACCTGAGGCAGAGACGGCGACTGCGACTGCGACTGCGACTGCTACGTCGACTTCAGCAGCGACTGCGACTGCGATCGCTCTTGGATGAAAAGCTGCGAGCGGAGACGGAGCACTCTTACTTACTTTGGACCGCGACGCTTTTCATTTCTTCAGTCTGTTAACGGCACGCCAACGATGCAGACGCGGCTAAAACCAGCTCTCCTGGTAACTGTTTGATTTGAGCCAACACACGCACAGTGGTGCCAAACAACAACAACAACAAAGTAAAAAGTGATACCAACTCCTGTTCCGTCTTCTCCTCCTGTCGACCAAGTGCATTTGTTTCAAGTGAATTGAATACGAAATAAAATACAAATACAAATACGAATTTAAGGCCCTTGGCCAGCTGCTTTCGGAACTTACGCTTGGATGGCCGCTAATTAAAAACCTAAAATTTAATCAAGTGAAAGGAAAGATCACAGGAAGAAGCCAAGCTAAAAGCGGCTCCCAACTCCAATTGGAGAGCTTTGGTAGGTAAGTGCCAAAAAAGGCAAAATAGAAATTTGTAACGCATGTCTTGGCAATTTTTTGCTAGTTATTTTTTCATGCTCTAATTATTTGGAAATTTCATTTTGTTTAACTCGTTAACTGGCATGCAATTTGTTTGCCCAAAGATTTGCCAGCCAGCTGAGCAACCGTCCATCTTTCGGAGAGTCTGGCTTTATGGCCAGAGACTTCCTCAATTTGAGCCAATAAAAAGTTAGTTGGATGTGTAAAAGGTGCTGCCCCGGCTGACCAGCATGGAAAAAGTAACTGGTCCATCCTCTTGGCATCTCCATTCTTTGAAGAAGATGTCTTGGGTTTTGTTCGCTGGCTGCTTTTCCAAACGCATCTCCGCCACTTCATTAACCCAATTTTCACTTCCCCCCAGAAAGAGAGAGAAACTCTTGTCCGAAAGAGAAAAATCTTGTTTATCGGGCCAATTTACATAGGGTCAGTGGAGGGGAGGGGGAATCATTTCTCTTCCCTAATCTCTGATCTTAACGGAACTAATGTCTGCATTTATTTGCTGCTGTTTGTGTTTGAGATTTTCTGATGCTTGTTTTGTGATTTTTACGAGTCTCAGAGGAGTGAGCAAATAGTCCCTCGTTTTTTATTTACTTTACACACACTTTGTTGTTACCTTTTGTTTTTTTATTTTTATGCGAGTGGTCAGCGTTTTCGAAATTAAATACTTTCTAATTACAATAAACGCAGCCGATGGCCGCTGGCGTCTGCCGGCCGGCCAATGTCCATAGCCTTTGGCTCAAGACTGAAATCACGTAGCCGCCCCATCGGCCAATGCCAAAGCCAATAAAAAAATAAGAAAAAAAAAACAAAATAATAATAAAGAAAAGAGAAAAACAAAACTCGCGAAAGTGTCAAGAAAATATAATACCACTTCAGACTCACTTTTTCTTTATTGTCATGTCTTAATGTGGCGCCTGATGTGTTTATTTGCGCCATCAGGCCTCCACAACCGCTTCTCCATTCCTATCCCCGCAATGAAAGTGAAACGTGCGAATGGCTTTGCGTATTTGCAGAAGCTTCCATCGTTCAGCACGTGCCCTGCCATCCAGCCATCAAGTCATCCATCCAGCCATCCAGCCAACCATTCAACCAATCCAACCATATGGCAATATATCCAGTAGTGTGTGTGTTCTTCGTCTTTCGCCGCTTTCAATTACTCAACCTCTAAATGTTCAATTTGTCAAGCGTTGCGACAAGATGAGCGATTACGACTTTCTTCTCAGCGGGGGGAAAAAAAACAAAAGACTTAGGACACAAACTTGGCCAAACAAAAGACTTAAGACCCGAACTTGGCTCATTAGCTGGGGTTTGTCCAGTGGAATGTCTTGAAGAACTTAAAAGAAGCTTGACGTCTAGTTTTAATTAGTTGGGAAATTTAGTTATTAGCACTAGTAAGTTGGTTAAAAGATTAACACTAACTTATTTCCTAGGAAATGGTGAAAAATTATGTTAAATGTTTGGGAATTTACATTATTAGATAGTTATTTACTTAGTAAATATTAAAACGAAGTTTATTAATGAACAAAAGCTTAGTCACAAGACTAAAATGTGCATATAACCATATAAATAACATTTTATGATGCCATAAACAACATAAAAAGTTTTTTTTTCTTTACAAATTAACATAAGACATAATCAATAAGGTTTTATAAGTCACTAGTTGAAATTCCTCAATGAACACAAGATGCTGCTTATTGTTATGAGACCAATCTAATGAACTAACTAGTTTTACAATCAATTCATATACATTTATTGATTCTCTTTAATAATTCCATTGGTCGTTAAAACTCAGCGATCTTTCGACAGACCACAATTATCCCAGGCACTTGTGACACGCACTGAATTCTAAATGTGAATAATTACAATGCAATATTCAGACATTATTCAAGCTGTATCGGATCCAAATCGCATTTAAGCCGCAAGACAAAAACAAAATCAATTCAAATGGGGCATTTATAGCTCGCTGGCTCGGCTGGCATCCAAAATCGTGAGTTGCAGTTGCATGTGCAGGTCGATCTCAACGGACCCCTCTTGTAAGACCCCCCTTGTAAGAGACCCCTTGAAAACCCACACTGTTGATTAGTCAGCACCCGGCTGCTAGCAATTGCCAGAGGCTTTTTGCCCCGTTTTGTCTCCGTCTTAGCCTCAGACTCAGACTTAGCCTCAGACTCGGTACTTTTTGCTTCTAGATCCCCGACAAGTTGAAGTGCCTTGGCTGGCCTACTGCATTTTTTCTCACACTCTTGCCTTGGTCACGGATGTGGCTGTGGATGTGGATTGATTGCTAATGTTCATCTGGGCATATATCTGGCAGGCAGGCGGCTCAGCTCAGTTTATGTGGATACCCTCGACGCGTTGCACAAGTCTTAAGGAGGCCGAGAATGAGACCCACTTGAGACATGGCCTAATGCAGGCAGAGAAAAGTGTGGGAAGACTTAGAGTAATATTTAATTGGAGTGTTTAAGAGACTAAACACTATTTTTTAGCAGCAAATAATCGAATTAAAAAGGTGTAAGGATATGTATAAATGCATTTTATATTTTTAAAATATTTGAATCCTTCACAACTATTAAATCACATTAATATATGTATTTCTAAGTGATTTATTATATTTGGAACTAGGAAAGGTCACACCTTAATTCATTATAAAACCTTGGTACTTGAACCCTAACCTCTCATTTAGACATTTCAATAAATTAATTTATATAAAATTAAATTACTTCCTGCTCATCTTCTCTTAACCAAACTACCCATACTTTTCCTGCAGTGTAACTTTTGCTTTCTTCAGCTGCTCCAGTTGCTGCTGCTTTGTTTTGTCACAGCCTTTGCTTTATGGTTTTTCATATATATACAAGTACTATGGATATATATAAAACCCTATAGAGTAGGGGTAAAGTAGGCTCTCTGTTGCAATTGTCACATTGTTTTAAGCCAGTTATCGGCCTGCTTTTTACCAGCTTGAAGTTTGGCAAGAAAACATAGAGAGAGTGACAGTTGGGGAGTGTTGTAATTAGCGGCAATATCATCATTATTCGATTTGCGATGAGCGGCGAGTGATAAGCGTTTAAGACAATTTAACTGTGAATTCCGATTGTCAAACAACGGCCCAAGGCATCCGGTTTTCAAAGTTGCGCAACTCTGCGGCCCAACATCGTCTCCCCCGCATGCCAAATTTGTGAAGAAAACAAAAAAACAATAAAAGAAATGTTCGACGGAGAAATACTTTCGCTTTCAAATGCTCGAGCATAAATTCTTGGGATTACGCAAGCGCCCAAGGCCCCCTCGAGGCATGTTTTGGTTTGGTGAGCAGGTGGTAGTAGAGGTGCCTCTGCCTCTGCCTCAACCACTTACCTCATTTGGAAAGCAGCGGAGAAATGAAAGTTGCGTGAAATTTACATTTCGTTTAATAATTTCGAACATTTCTTCGGGGTCGCTGTGGCATAAAATTTGAGGAATTAGCCCATGTTTTCTGTCCATGTCTTCTGGTTAAACTCTTTCCGGCAGGCCCAGGAGCACGCCCCCAATAATCCGCAAGACGGAGGCCAATTTTGAATGCCAGCCCGAAGTGCATTTCATTGTCGCTTTCATTTCGCAGTTTTCCATTTTTCCTCTGTTTTTCCCAACTCCTGCTTTATATACATATCTCTCTTTTGACGACGACGAGTTCATTGGCTCTGCATAATTTATGCGTGGCTATTGGAGCCATCAATCCTTGCGTTTGTCGTTGGCCACAAACTCTGCCATGGCTAATTGGCCGTAACTGTAACTGGGGAAAAATAGAGACAAATGATTTCGGCACTAGAGCGATACAATCAGTCAATATTTAATGTGCGAATTGTGCAAGTATGGCTCTAACGAGTGGGGGAAACTATTGCCAATATGGTGAGTTACTCGTGACTCACAACTCAGCCGGGTCACGCACATTCCTTGGCCAGCTTTGGGTGGCTTTGCTCTAATAACTCGGCTGCAGCAAGCATGTATCTGACGGATCCGTGGGCGGTGCCCCGAAAACTTAGGCCTGAGAGGTGTGTGTTTGTGTGACCAGCTGAGCGTGGCCGCTGCAGCCTCCAGATGCAATTAAAGCCAAACTAGAGCTCTAGAAACCAAGATCTCTTGGCTATATATTACCACATCCAAAGTCTCAAGAGATTATGTGCTTTAGATATGTCTTGGAACCCCCTCTATTTGCAGCCCTTTTAATTACGCGCCCACTAATGCCTCATTGTATTTTTCTGTATTTTATTTCTGCTTTCAGTTACCTCAGCGATCTTTTTTGGGCCCAGTTAGTTAGCTTCCAGTGTCTGTGTGGCTGCCGCTGTTTATGGTAAGTCTACAATGGGATTGGAGCGACCTTGCTGCTGTTGTGGGTGTGGTGTTACTCACCTGGGTGTGGACTCGAGTAATCCAATTAAACTCACTCGCCAAATGATCAGCAAAGCGATGAAACAATGTCAATGCCAGAAGTTGTACATCGAGTAATCCCTGGAGCCGCCATACCATAAACCATAATCCATAATCCCTTTGCGGCTGGTAAGCCAGCTTTCCTGTGTCTACATCCGGCTTTGTGGTCAGCTACCAATGACCTGCCATAAATCCCCATCCTCATTCCCAGAGAGACAAGACAAGAGGTACACGCCCCCGCCAGCAAGGAAAGTCCGTTTCCAAGTCCAAGTCCAAGTCCGCTTTGATTTCAACAGATGTCTGGGCCACAAAATGAAAGGGAAATTGCCTGTTACCTGGCTGGCTGGCTGGCTGGCTCCTCACCTGCCTGCCTTTTTCCGAGGGCATTGTCACATTTCACTTTCAATGATCGGCGGAGATTTCAAGTGCAGCGGTCTCCAGCGAGGTGTGACAATGGGCCGGCTCTCTGTTTGCTTTTATAAATTTTTGACAACTGGTTTTGGTCCGAAATATTGACCGCAAGTGTGTCTAATTTCTATTATTTTCCTCTCCGCCGGCAAGTGGAGTTCACTTTCTTCTTTCACTGTGCCAGTGCACAGTGCTCTCCCGTTGCAATGCACCGCTGCAAGTTCCGTTGTGATATATTTAGCAGTTTATATCTTAAACGATTTTGTTCAGTGATTTTTTGCCGTACTTTTTTGCTTTCGTTTAACCCATTTAATGCGGCATCCGCTGGTACAGACACACACACACCACACTCGATTAATTCAGTGGAAAAGTGAAAACGAAAGTGCTCGAGGAGATCGCAGATGTGTGTGCTCAGTGGTCAGGTTTTGGTCAGGTTTGTTTTATATATATTTCGGCCTCACTTTCGTTTTCAGACAAGGCGAATCTTCTGGATTGGCTTGGTCATTTGCCATAATTTGCGATTACACCGACTCCGGGGACCGAGTGCTGTTGATGATGATGCAATTAGCATCCCCAGACATATGCAAAATGCAAAATGCGAAATGAGGAAACGAGGAAACCAAACTGTCGCCGCCGATTCATTGATTGTGGTTCATGGATCATGGATCATGGGTCTTGGCTTTGGCCAATGAGGCGTATTACCAGCCTCTTGGTAGCCAGGCTACCATTTCGCCTTAAGTATTGCAATTTCTCGCATTTGGCCAAATGAAAACAAGCGCACAATTATGGCCACTTGGCCGGGCAGTTATGGCCCGACCACCGACCAGTTGCACTTACAGTTACACTTGCCACACCGAAGAGAGATACAGATACAGATACAGATAGAGATACAGATATAGCAACAGGTACAGCTACAGCTACATCTACAAATCCATAGCCAGACCCGGCAATTACCTTTTGATTCACTGCAGCAACTGCAACAAATACCTTTCACTTGCCCCCAGTAACTCGTCGGCGGTCGTGAAAAATGCAAATGCCTCGAAAGAATCCAAAGAGCTAACGCCCAGCGACCTTGGCTTCGGGTTGGGCAATCTCAGGCCCAGTACAGTCTCAAGATCTCATTGGAAATTCAGTTGAATTTGCATTTGGATTTGTGTAATTACAGGCGACAATTAAGTTACCGGTTCTGGGTGTTCCGGTTTCTAAGTCTTTTGCTACTTTTTGCTTTACCATTTGCTGACCTTTCACTGGAGTTCATTAAAGTTTTCGGTGGGTTTTCCTTTTGGTATTGGGAAATTCCTTTAATTGTGGCTTGAAATAAACTCGAAATATTTCCAATATGCAAAGATATAAGTTACCATAACAATGGATGACCTCGTGCCGGCGTTTTGTTGGGGAACTTGGCATTTAAGAATGTCAAACTTTGCGTGAGGAAAATTCATTAGTTACTCTGTTGGATAAAGCTTTGTTTATTGGGTTTTAATTAAAAATTAGTTTTAATTTATTTCTACTACATATTCTTTGCTTATACACTATATAATCTCTTTCCCTTGCAGGCAATTTAGCTATGAAGCGAGGCATGCAACTCACCGCCGCCTGGCTGTGCTTACTGGCCACGGCCAGCCTAGCCCAAAACCAGGAGTCCTCCGCCAAGTGGTCTCGTCAGCTTGAGAGCGTGGGCCAATCCGATTCCCTGGACTCCTTGGACTGGGTGCCCTTGGCCCAACCCCTAGATGGCAGCAAGGATCGCTCGGGAAATGGACGCGTACTGACCTACTCGCAGACCTTTCCGCCCAGCGCACGTTTCGGGGATCTGACCAAGACGGGCGCCTCCCAGTTCGACTATCCCTTCCAGTTCCAGCGGTATCCCAATGGAGGAAGTCAGGCCCTGCCCCTCCGCCAGGGACCTCCACCGCCGCCAGCCAGTCTCAAGGCCGGATCCCAGGAGCCCACGTCGCAGTCCTTCTTCAAGTTCGAGATGCCGTTCCACAACAATAACGAGGGACAGGCTCAGGCGCCGCCCACTCTGCAGACGGGATACCAGATCCAGCATACTTTCGGAGCAGGAGCTGCAGGACTTCAGGCGCCCTCCTCCCTGTTCAGCCCGCCCTCGCTCTTTGGACAGCAGCAGGGACAGCCTTTTGGGGCGGACTTCCACTCCCTGGGCTCCCAGAAGCCGCTGGCTCAGGCACTGAACAAACCACTCCATCAGCAGAACTATGTCCAGGATATACTGCCTCCCAAGACCCTGGGCAAGCCACTGCCCACACAGCCTTCGCTGCAGAGTGTGACGCCCCAGGTCTTCCCCGTGAATCCCGAGCCTGAGAATCTCTTTGGCCTGAACAAGGCAGCGCCTTCGTCAGCTCCATCTTCCAGTAGGGATCAGGATGTGCAGTTGCTGTATGTCCCATACGACACGCTCTACAACCAGCAAAGGCAGCAATCGGGATTGGGATCGGGGTCCAGCTCCAACTTTGAGGTGAACAAGTTCAACGTGAATCCTGGTCTGCCCGCTGTCAATCCGTACCAGATCAACCAGTTCTACACGCAGGATCCCAGCGTGGGCAGCGACTTCTTCAGCTCGGGCACCACCACGAGACCCAGTACCACCACCAGCCAGCCGCAGAGCATCTTCCAGAGCTTCGGCCAGCCGCAGCCCCAGCAATCGCAGTTCACCACAGCGAAGCCGAAGCCCAAGGCACATCAGCCTCCCTTGGCCATGTTCCTGCTGCGCTCCAGTTCCCGGCCCTCGCAATCCGATGTGGTCACTGCTCTGAGGAATGCCCACAGCATCTCGGTGATTGACTCGCCCACCAAGCAGACGCCGGAGATCTTTGTGGGACCCGCCGGCATGCCCATTCCCGATGGCTATGTGAAGTTCGATCTGCCCTACCTGTCGCAGCTCTCGCAGAACCGGGATCTCAGCGATGTCTCCTTCTTCGTGGCTCCCTTGAGCTACAGGACGCCGAATGGTTTCAACAAGATCCTGCTGCCAGAGCCGCATGTGGGTTCCATTGTGGTCAACAGGGCCAAGGACATCGGTGCGAGTCAGCAACTGTCGCCGCCTGCCAGGCCCCAGCAGCGTCCTTATGCCACCGTGAGCAGCACCCGTAATCCCTTCGAGAGCACCACCACCCAGTCGCAGCTCCAGGCTCAGAGCCAGGTTCCCGGACGTGGCAACAAGTTCAGCTACTACTATGTCCAGGATGGCATCCAGGAGGTGAACGCGCCGAAGGTGCCCGCCAAGCAGGAGCGGCACAAGAAGAAGCGACCCCAGAGCGTCCAGGTGGATCAACCTCAGTATCGTCCTTCGCCCACGAAGGCCCAGACCCAGAATCCCTTCGATAATCTGAACCAGATTGGCGGCGACGATTTCTTCAAGACGCTGGGCACCAAACCCACAACGACCTCTACTTCCAGTACCTCCACATCGACTACGACTTCCACTACTTCGACCACGGCTGCTCCCCAGTCGCTGTTTACCTACAGCACCCGGCCCCAGGTGGAGTTCCCCGGCTCCAGTGGCCAGCTGTATCCCCAGTATATCCAGGAACCAGTGCAGGAGCAATTCCCCAGGCTGACCACGCGTCCCCCAACCGCCTCCACAGCTGAGGAAGAGCAGCGCATGAAGCAATACTTCCGCCAGCAGGATGCCTTCCGCCAGCGGCCGCACACCACAAATCCTCCGTTCGAATATACACCGAGCTCCCTGGACTACGAGGTTCCTCTGCCCACAACGACGACGCAGAGGATCAAGACCAAGCAGCGAGTGAACCTGTATACCCCGGCGGCCGTCCCAGTGACCACTTCTGATGTGGGCTACAATAACGTGGAGCAACAGGCTCCCCTCAACCACCGTCCCAGCTACAGTCAAGTGCAGAACGAGATCCTGGACAACAGCAATGTGGAGTACGATCCCAATCCCTACCATGTGCCCTCGGAGCTGCCACCCTTGACTCCAGATATTCCCGGACTGGTCAACAACCTGCAGGAGAAGGACAAGCTGCAGCCTGCCCTGGCCACCACTCCGTTGCCCGAGCCGGAACCGGAGACACGACCAACCAGGAGACCCGTCCTCCGTACTCGCAAGCCAGCCGTGACCAAGGTTACCTCATCCGTGTCCTACTCAGAGTCGGAGTCCTCGGGCAAGCTACCCACTCACCGGATCAGGAGGCCATACAGCAGCCGAGGAACTACAGCGCCGGCTGCCTCCACAGGAAGCGGAGATGGCGGCGAGGAGTCATCTTCGACTCCCACTCGTCGTCCCAGCAGTGCAAGGAATCCACTCATCCGGAATCCCAATCGCATCCGCTACAGGCCCACGAACGATGAGCGTCACACGCTGAAGACCAAGATCAGGAAGGGATCGAAGAACGGCAAGGGCAGCGAGGATCAGGATCTGGACTACCAGCGGGATGTGCTCAAGCAGAACTATCCGGTGTTCAAGGCCTCCTCCAGGCGTCCCACCAGCCCCACGGCCATTCCCAGCTCCTACGACGTACAGGGCACCACCGAGGGACCCGCCTCCGAGTCCCAGCAGGTCTACACGGTGACCCCGAGCAACAGCATCGATAATGGCGGCAACGAGCAGAGCGGCTTCCCCGCCAATCTGCTGGAACCCATGCAGATAGCCCAGCACTATCAGGAGTTCTCCAAGGACAACTACGGACCCGGCTACTTCCCCAACCAGGAGGATCTCAATCCCACGGAGGCCATCGTGCGCAACGAAGTCAGTCCCATCTACACTACTCTGGCCACCACGACGCCATCGACTACGACGACTTCGACTACGACAACCACGGAGGCGCCTCCAACTACCACCACCAGGCGTTCGCCATTCGTTAGGAGGAACTATCCGAGATTGAGGACAACCACGACGACTGAGACCCCAGTGACCAGTACCACGCCCTCGGAGGAGAGGCCATCTGTAAGGGAGATAAATAGTTTCCTTAAGAACTAGGTTATTGATTAACTTATCCCTTTAGATCCGCTCTCGTCTGCCTCCTCGTCGCGTGGTGAAGGTGCGTCAGCGTCAGCGTCGTCCTAGTCATCCAGCCTCATCCTCTACAGCAGCGCCAGAGGAGGAATCGGAGCCCGTTACTCAAAAAGCAAATCTTCGCAAGCTGAGTCGATACAATAACCCAGAGGTTAAGGATAAAGAGGTACTTTTCTACAGTTATTAATATTGATTTCCCCTACCCATCTAATAAATCCTACTCTACAGACTCCGAGTCCAACTCCCCTCACCCAGCGTCGTCGCTATAAGCAACCCTTCCAGCTGGAGGGTCAGGAATCGCAGTGGTCGCCCTCCTCGGAAACAGCCAACAGCAACACCAACTCGAACAGCTTCAAGCCCCTGAACCCCAAGTACAAGGCGGAGACGCACAACTTCGAGAGCGAGCCGGAGATAGTGACCATGGGACCCACGGAACAGCCGGAGACCTATGAGTTCAATGTAGCTGCCGATCTGGGAGGATCGGGTGGTCAGCGCACCACCATCAAGGCTCCCAATCTCAAGTAAGATTAACAGGCTTTACCCTTATGTTCTCCCAACACTAAAAACTCTTTCCTTACAGACCCGAGAAATCATTTGCCGAGCTTCTGGAGGAAGTGATGGGCAAGGCACCGGAGGATCACACCACAGAGTCTCCCAGCAGTACCTTGGGTCGCCTCAGTCGACGTGGCAAGTGGAAGAAGAACCGTGTGGCGACCGATAACTCGGAGAACTTCGAGACAGCCGAGTCCCAGAACCTGGGACCACAGCTGTACAATGCCCTGCAGGCGGCCGGCGAAAAGGAGGAGCTGCCCAAGACCACGACTCCCCTGACTCCCATAATCACCGAGGTTCAGACGGAAGCTCAGGCAATAACCACCACAATTGCCTCGCCAACAACGCCCGAGGAGTACGAGGTGACCACCGCCCGTGCCGTGGAAGAGGCCACCATGACTTCGACTCTGCCGGTGAGCGAGGAGAGTGCCACGCGTCGCATGGACACCGCTGCGGATGTGGACGATCTGGAGTCGCAGCCCAGCATCTTCTCCGAGGTGAGGAAGCAGCTGCACGACCTCTTCGCCATCGAGGAGAGCGAGGATGAGGCGGTAACCGCCGCTCTGGCAGCCGTGGGCAAGCGTCGCCAGGAGTACACGAGCATTCGACGCACCAGCCCCTCGACGCCCGCCGAGAAAACCACTCTGGCGCCGGCGAATGAGGAGGAGGAGGCCAAGGCCACCGCCACCACCACAGAAGCCACCGTTGCAGAGAGCAAAAAGGATAGCTTCCACAAGGATCTGATGGAGCATGTGGTGTACGCCACCTCAACGTCGACCAAAGTCACCTCCGAGACGGAGATCTGTTACCGCGGGCGCTGTATTCGGTCCGAGGATCTGCCCGCCAACCACAAACTGCACTGAGCAGGCTCACCCGCACACTCCTCCATCATAAAGGAAGGCGAAGCGATAGATCATGTACATAGGGGCAGAGGGGATACGGGCAAGGAGGTGGGACTTGGCTCCTTAGCTCCTCCTTGGTCGCGTCCACTTGTAATTACCTAGCTTTAACTACAAATATATGTTAAGGATAAGCAGACAAAACCCGTAAGGAAGGGCAAGGGAGGTTCTTGGATAGGACATGGGAGAAGTACATCGAATTCCTATCAGGGAACTTCCTCACCAAAAACCCCTTGAGATTCCCCCACTTAGAGCAATTAGTTTTAGTTTCGTAGAGTTAGCATTACGTCAGGATATCCATTAGCCAGCATGTAAGTCTTGTACCATACGTACATCGTTGTGTACTAACATTACGACTACGAATAATACCAATAAAAACGAAACGAAAAGTCCAATCAATCCTTGGGTTAGGCATCTATGAGAGGCGCACGATCCTGTGCAGCTTCTTCAGCTGCAACACCATCATCTCCTGCAGGTAAGGGTGTTCTGGTGGCAACAGGCGAGTTCCAAGATTGGACACCTGTTCGGCCGAACACCATGAAAAGCAGGTTACCAATGAAGTAGACAAAGGCGGTGAAGAAAACACAATGCGCCATTGATCGGGATTCATCTGAAAAAGAATTATGAACAGAATTTATATATGATAAGATCAGGGTTGTACATCCTCCTCACCTCATCCCATACAAGCAATCAATTAGGAGCGCCAGAATGCTCATAAAAAATATGAAAAAATGAGCAAGAAATTATTTTCTCTCCTTCAAGCCCAGAAAGATTCGCCTGTTGATGCTGATCAAGAATATATATAACTTATAGGGTCGGAAATGACTCCTTCACATTCTTTTAAGCTTCCGACTGAAGGTGAAATACCATTTTTTAATCAATATTAACTATATTTTTCTCATAACTAAGTCAATACTGCATTAAATTCAATTCGGAAAACGCTCGTATGTTCATTTTTAGCAGGTTTATAAAACTGCATACTCCATTTAAAATGTGAATTTTTGGCCGATTTTTGCAAATTTTAATGATGTAACCCCTTTCCTTTTTTTCAGAAAATGGGAAATTTCTGAAAAAAATTTCTTTTGCCCAGGGATAGCTAGAAAGATTCGCCTGTTGATGCTGATCAAGAATATATATAATTTATAGGGTCGGAAATGACTCCTTCACATTCTTTTAAGCTTCCGACTGAAGGTGAAATACCATTTTTTAATCAATATTAACTATATTATTTCATGCAAATTTTTTCCGATTTTTTGGCCGATTTTTGCAAATTTTAATGATGTAACCCCTTTCCTTTTTTTCAGAAAATGGTAAATTTCTGAAAAAAATTTCTTTTGCCCAGGGATAGCTAGAAAGATTCGCCTGTTGATGCTGATCAAGAATATATATAATTTATAGGGTCGGAAATGACTCCTTCACATTCTTTTAAGCTTCCGACTGAAGGTGAAACACCATTTTTTAATCAATATTAACTATATTTTTCCATGCAAATTTTTTCGACAAATCAAAATTTAAAAATCTCATAACTAAGTCAATACTGCATTAAATTCAATTCGGAAAACGCTCGTATGTTCATTTTTAGCAGGTTAATAAAACTGCATACTCCATTTAAAATGTGAATTTTTGGGCGAATTTGTCAAATTTTGATGATGTAACCCCTTTCCTTTTTTTCAGAAAATGGGAAATTTCTGAAAAAAATTTCTTTTGCCCAGATATAGCTAGAAAGATTCGCCTGTTGATGCTGATCAAGAATATATATAATTTATAGGGTCGGAAATGACTCCTTCACATTCTTTTAAGCTTCCGACTGAAGGTGAAATACCATTTTTTAATCAATATTAACTATATTTTTTCATGCAAATTTTTTCGACAAATCAAAATTTAAAAATCTCATAACTAAGTCAATACTGCATTAAATTCAATTCGGAAAACGCTCGTATGTTCATTTTTAGCAGGTTAATAAAACTGCATACTCCATTTAAAATGTGAATTTTTGGGCGAATTTGTCAAATTTTGATGATGTAACCCCTTTCCTTTTTTTCAGAAAATGGGAAATTTCTGAAAAAAATTTCTTTTGCCCAGAGATAGCTAGAAAGATTCGCCTGTTGATGCTGATCAAGAATATATATAATTTATAGGGTCGGAAATGACTCCTTCACATTCTTTTAAGCTTCCGACTGAAGGTGAAATACCATTTTTTAATCAATATTAACTATATTTTTTCATGCAAATTTTTTCGACAAATCAAAATTTAAAAATCTCATAACTAAGTCAATACTGCATTAAATTTAATTCGGAAAACGCTTGTATGTTCATTTTTAGCAGGTTTATAAAACTGCCTTTGATTTATAGGGTCGGAAGTGACTCCTTCACATTCTTTTAAGCTTCCGACTGAAGGTGAAATACCATTTTTTAATCAATATTAACTATATTTTTTCATGCAAATTTTTTCGACAAATCAAAATTTAAAAATCTCATAACTAAGTCAATACTGCATTAAATTCAATTCGGAAAACGCTCGTATGTTCATTTTTAGCAGGTTAATAAAACTGCATACTCCATTAAAATGTGAATTTTTGGACGATTTTTGCAAATTTTAATGATGTAACCCCTTTCCTTTTTTTCAGAAAATGGGAAATTTCTGAAAAAAAGTTCTTTTGCCCAGAGATAGCTAGAAAGATTCGCCTGTTGATGCTGATCAAGAATATATATAATTTATAGGGTCGGAAATGACTCCTTCACATTCTTTTAAGCTTCCGACTGAAGGTGAAATACCATTTTTTAATCAATATTAACTATATTTTTCCATGCAAATTTTTTCGACAAATCAAAATTTAAAAATCTTATAACTAAGTCAATACTGCATTAAATTCAATTCGGAAAACGCTCGTATGTTCATTTTTAGCAGGTTAATAAAACTGCATACTCCATTAAAAATGTGAATTTTTGGACGATTTTTGCAAATTTTAATGATGTAACCCCTTTCCTTTTTTTCAGAAAATGGGAAATTTCTGAAAAAAGTTCTTTTGCCCAGAGATAGCTAGAAAGATTCGCCTGTTGATGCTGATCAAGAATATATATAATTTATAGGGTCGGAAATGACTCCTTCACATTCTTTTAAGCTTCCGACTGAAGGTGAAACACCATTTTTTAATCAATATTAACTATATTTTTCCATGCAAATTTTTTCGACAAATCAAAATTTAAAAATCTCATAACTACGTCAATACTGCATTAAATTCAATTTGGAAAACGCTTGTATGTTCATTTTTAGCAGGTTTATAAAACTGCCTTTGATTTATAGGGTCGGAAATGACTCCTTCACATTCTTTTAAGCTTCCGACTGAAGGTGAAACACCATTTTTTAATCAATATTAACTATATTTTTCCATGCAAATTTTTTCGACAAATCAAAATTTAAAAATCTCATAACTAAGTCAATACTGCATTAAATTCAATTCGGAAAACGCTCGTCTGTTCATTTTTAGCAGGTTTATAAAACTGCATACTCCATTAAAATGTGAATTTTTGGCCGATTTTTGCAAATTTTAATGATGTAACCCCTTTCCTTTTTTTCAGAAAATGGGAAATTTCTGAAAAAAATTTCTTTTGCCCAGAGATAGCTAGAAAGATTCGCCTGTTGATGCTGATCAAGAATATATATAATTTATAGGGTCGGAAATGACTCCTTCACATTCTTTTAAGCTTCCGACTAAAGGTGAAACACCATTTTTTAATCAATATTAACTATATTTTTCCATGCAAATTTTTTCGACAAATCAAAATTTAAAAATCTCATAACTAAGTCAATACTGCATTAAATTCAATTCGGAAAACGCTTGTATGTTCATTTTTAGCAGGTTTATAAAACTGCCTTTGATTTATAGGGTCGGAAATGACTCCTGCACATTCTTTTAAGCTTCCGACTGAAGGTGAAACACCATTTTTTAATCAATATTAACTATATTTTTCCATGCAAATTTTTTCGACAAATCAAAATTTAAAAATCTTATAACTAAGTCAATACTGCATTAAATTCAATTCGGAAAACGCTCGTATGTTCATTTTTAGCAGGTTTATAAAACTGCCTTTGATTTATAGGGTCGGAAATGACTCCTTCACATTCTTTTAAGCTTCCGACTGAAGGTGAAACACCATTTTTTAATCAATATTAACTATATTTTTCCATGCAAATTTTTTCGACAAATCAAAATTTAAAAATCTCATAACTAAGTCAATACTGCATTAAATTCAATTCGGAAAACGCTCGTATGTTCATTTTTAGCAGGTTAATAAAACTGCATACTCCATTTAAAATGTGAATTTTTGGCCGATTTTTGCAAATTTTAATGATGTAACCCCTTTCCTTTTTTCAGAAAATGGGAAATTTCTGAAAAAATTTCTTTTGCCCAGAGATAGCTAGAAAGATTCGCCTGTTGATGCTGATCAAGAATATATATAATTTATAGGGTCGGAAATGACTCCTTCACATTCTGTTAAGCTTCCGACTGAAGGTGAAACACCATTTTTTAATCAATATTAACTATATTTTTCCATGCAAATTTTTTCGACAAATCAAAATTTAAAAATCTCATAACTAAGTCAATACTGCATTAAATTCAATTCGGAAAACGCTCGTATGTTCATTTTTAGCAGGTTAATAAAACTGCATACTCCATTTAAAATGTGAATTTTTGGCAGATTTTTGCAAATTTTAATGATGTAACCCCTTTCCTTTTTTTCAGAAAATGGGAAATTTCTGAAAAAATTTCTTTTGCCCAGAGATAGCTAGAAAGATTCGCCTGTTGATGCTGATCAAGAATATATATAATTTATAGGGTCGGAAATGACTCCTTCACATTCTTTTAAGCTTCCGACTGAAGGTGAAACACCATTTTTTAATCAATATTAACTATATTTTTCCATGCAAATTTTTTCGACAAATCAAAATTTAAAAATCTCATAACTAAGTCAATACTGCATTAAATTCAATTCGGAAAACGCTTGTATGTTCATTTTTAGCAGGTTTATAAAACTGCCTTTGATTTATAGGGTCGGAAATGACTCCTTCACATTCTTTTAAGCTTCCGACTGAAGGTGAAATACCATTTTTTAATCAATATTAACTATATTTTTCCATGCAAATTTTTTCGACAAATCAAAATTTAAAAATCTCATAACTGAGTCAATACTGCATTAAATTCAATTCGGAAAACGCTCGTATGTTCATTTTTAGCAGGTTAATAAAACTGCATACTCCATTTAAAATGTGAATTTTTGGGCGAATTTGTCAAATTTTGATGATGTAACCCCTTTCCTTTTTTTCAGAAAATGGGAAATTTCTGAAAAAAATTTCTTTTGCCCAGAG